TTTGTCATATCTTTCTAGAGTGGTGATATCTGTATCTCTAGATTGGTAGGCTAACCCCTTTATCAGTCATTTATTCTAAGGTGGTATGCCTGTATCCTAAGAGTAACTGACATTCTATCCTAATTACCTTATATTTTCCTTTTATCCGTCTTGCCCATACCATCATGGTATCATCGGGAGTTCGTTATTGTTCCATCATGTAAAAATGACATCTAGGTTAATTGAGTAGCTGACGAAATCTTCAAAGATTTCAAATATAGTTCACTATAGTAAATGAAGAGAACTTGAAGGAGCTTGGAAATTGATGCATTCTGAACAATTTTCTCAAATGGCTTGACCTAGACTTTACATGATTACCTGGGATGAGAATCAAATAACTGCATAGAATTCGAATGTTTAGTTAATTGAATTCAGATGTACATAACTTTTCAAGAAACTTTGATGGAATTATAGATCGCGTGCATCAGGAAGCGTTATGATTCTAGTTTCCTTCCAACTAGATTGACTAATTTGAGGTTGAAGAAATGTCAAAAAATGTGATAGGCTGTATTGTATTAGTATACACATTAAGATTTAGAAAATGTTTGTTAATTATTGGATGTTATCATGAACAAAGTGCTTCTGGGGGGTTTTTAGCTATGTGACCCAGGTACTTCTATCATGAACAGTACCGACGGCCGACACGTGCCCATACCCAAATTTCATGGACACTCCTTGTATTTATGCATGCATTTATGCAGACATTGGCTCAATTATATGATATGTGTTTTAATTTAAAACACTTGTCAAACACTATTTGAAATGATTATTTGGGTGTCTAGTTCAAAAACAGATAGTTTCCAACTTATAATGATCCATGTAATAAAAGAAACCTTAAAATGTGATAGGAATTTTAATTCAATAACACAATAATAGAAAAACAATAATGATCTCATGTAATATATATATATATATATATATATATATATATATATATATATATATATATATATATATATATATATATATATATATATATATATATATAATACATAGATATATATAGAGAAGAGGAGATGAACTTATGTCAACTTAAGTGGACAAGAGGCATTTTGTCCACCAAACTTTCTACCGCACCTCATATATGTATAATAAAAAGTCTCTTCGTATCTTGCATGGATCCCTAGGTATCATCAATGGATAGAAAGTTTGGTGGATGGTCCACTTAAGTTGAAATAAGAATTTCTCTTCTCTCTTCTCTCTCATATATATATATATAATATATGTGTGTGTGGTGTGTGTGTGTGTGTGTGTGTAGCCGGTGTCCCTACCGGTGCGTTTTACAATTTTCTGATGTCCCATACCCGCACCTGTACCTGTACCTGTTTCTATGCAAATTGGTTTTTAGTCTAGATGAAAGAGCTCGGGATTATTAGGAAGTCTTTACTTCAGGTATTATTGTAGCTATTGGAAGTTTGTGTGATATGTGAAATATTGTGCGGTTCTATATTAGAGTTGGTGAATAAACCCAAGTACCAAAACCAAAAGCAACTACAACCATTTGCAATAAATAAGTAAACAACAAGAAAAATTCCTCATTGACCCAAAATATGGGACCAATAGAGGGGACAAGTGAGGTGTCTCCCTCCTATTGGATAATGAGTTGGCCATCATTAATGATGACCAACTCATTATCCAATAGGAGGGAGACACCTCACTTGTCCCCTCCATTGGTCCCATATTTTGGGTCCATGTAGCAAAGCTCAAACAACAACTGGAAAACCAATTTAACTTCATATGTAGACTTCATCAGTTCGATAGAACCATGTGAAAACGCTCCCCATTGCCTTACACAAGTTTTCAGACTGAAAACCATTAAGTCTTTTATACTAACAATCTGGTTTTCCTGATATGAAACTTCTGAAACTCCTGAACCTGATATGACAGTACAAAGAGGGATTTGATACCGAAACTGATACCGATATATCAAGCTCTGATTTAAAAAACACCTCGATTTCCCCTGACATCCTTATATTTCTGAATCCGCGAGAATAAGAAGAACAATCAAATTCATCATATCTGGGCATCACGAAGTCAAAACATTCCCGTCTGGTTGACGGATTAGTGCTCTTTGTTAATGCACATTATGCACACCCCGTGTGTTGCTCGTGCCGTTTTGTTTAATGGGATTTAAGTTTTACGTATTAGTATTTTATTTTCTTTAAAATTCCCTTGTTTAAATTACATACATTATCTTGCATCTGTAATATAGTATTGATAGAAATATATAAATACATACACTCACTTTGCTATTTTTTATTAAAAATATCTTTAATTGTACTCGGACATAAATATATATGGTGACACAACATATAAGGAAACAACTATCTGATCTCAAAGACAAAACAAATAACTGAGAGGTTAACTCAAAAAGGCATTACTAAAGTACATTTGAAAATTACCTTCTCTTAATGTAACACATAAATGAAACAAATGTCTACTCTTTGGCCAACAAAAAAATCAAAAAATTTCAATAAGATTGAAATGCGAGTCCACCCCACTCAATGCAATTGAAAGGAAACGGTGTTGACAACTTGACAATCATCATTCTATCCATGGATCAGAAAATTGATCAGGCTCTCCCATTGGGTTTGTCACTTCATGTATCATCCTCCTCATCACATCCTTCACCTTGTACAATATCCAGATTTTTTTTCCTTTCCTAACCACAGATCTCATGAAAGTGAAAATAACAATAAAAGATCAGAGAGAGGACAAATTCAAAGCAAATATGTTGAAAAATACTATCTGGCACGATGAGATCAATAAATTTAAATAAAAAGAAATATCTTTGTCCCACGAAGTCAAGACATTTACGAAAATACTATCTGAAGAGAGCAGTCCAACCTATGTTACCTGGGTACTTCATTATTGAAGTCGTACCCGTACCGGACACATACCCGACACTTTCCCGTACCCAAACTTCGTGGACACTTCTTGAATATATGCATGCATTTATTACAACATATACTCAATTATACGATATATGTGTTAATTTAAAACACTTGTCAAAGACTTCCTGGACGTAGAGCTTACACTTCACATCCGTCTTTTGAAACTAATGGGATACGGGTCGGGTTCGTTTCAGTCCATACCCAAGTTCAAAACTATATAGTTAATGGGTCGTTTAGATGTCTAGTAAAAAATGAGTAGTTTACAATTCATGATAATCAATATGATAAAATAAACTCAAAAATGTGATCGAAATTTTAATTCTAATGACACATGAAGCGGGAAAAAATTATCTCATGTACATTATTAAGTCAATATATATATGTAGTCATGTCCCCGTACCCAACATTTTACAGCTTTGCCGTGTCCCGTACCCGCACCCGCACCCATACCAGTACCCGTGCCCGTTTCCATGCAACTTAGAGTCCAACCAAATACTGTCAATTACAAGAAATAGAAAAGAGAAGCATATATTATTATCAATCTTTAATTAGAATTTGGAAAGAAAGATTAATAAGTTGACTATACCTGAACTCAATGGTAATCCAAGTAAACAAACCAATATGCTAAAATAGAGGTTTTTGGAGTTTTTGATTTAGAGAAGGTAAAGAAAGCTTTCAGTGTTTTTTTTACACAAAGATGGTGGAAGCAAGCAACACACCTGCATGTACACATACATAATAAACCAACAAAAACTTCCTCTTATTTTGTTTTTATTTGGAGATAAAAGAGGAACTAAATTTCTGAATTCGTACTTTAGTGGTGTCTTCACTAACTATATTTAACTCAAACCCAAAGTAATTATCCCTTCATATTATATGCAGTTGCCCCTTCACTCAAATTCATTACTAGAGGAAATTTGAAACCAAAACCCTCCAACTTGTAACTTTAAGATTGCTTATGTAAAATCAAGGCAAAACTTCAGTAGAGGTTCCTAATGTATTTAGTAAATATCACTTGAGTCCTTGTTGTTTAAAAGGCATCACTAGGGTCCCTAACATTACCTCTGTTATCAGCCTAGATCCTTTATACAAAATTATGTTAAATCTTGTTGATGTGGTGATAATGTGGCCTTGCCATGTCGCTGTCACATTAGCAAAAAAATTTAGTGAAATTCCAAGTTCAAGAAATTTCACTATTTTTTGTCGATGTGGCAAAATAAAATTGGACTTCCACTAATTTTTTGCTGACATGTCAGAGCCATATCATCGCCACGTTAGCAATATTTAACAAAAGTTTGTAACAGGAACTTAGGTTGATGACGAAGGTTAACTTATGGATCCCCATTGATGACTTTGAAACATTAAGGACTCGAATGATATTTGTCTGATGTATTAGGGACTTCCACTGAACTTTTGCCAAAAATCAATAATATGACATATTGAACAACAGTTATGCGAGTTTCTCTTCCTAATATGCCGAGGTGTTTATCTAGATGTGCTACTTGTATAGCTAATTTGCATTCAACTCTATTAGTTTTGTCATTTATGTGCATCACAACTCATGTCGTATAAGCATATAGTACTATGCATTCGAATTTGTTGTCATAGAATGTTAGTGTCTGCCGATATGCAGAGCTCCAAGCTACTTCCTAACTTTGCTGATTCACTAAGGAACGACAGTTTTTGTTATTAGCTGTTTACTTGGTTGAACCATTGAAGTGTTATCAATGTCTGATAAGCAGCTCAATATATTCCTAATGCCTTGAAAAAGTATGTCAATGAAGTCCAGACTGGCCAGTAACTGTCATCGGCATTTGCCAGCAAAAAGCAATTGATGTAGATGCAACCTTTAAGTTAAGCACTGTTGTTATAAGACAACTAGACAATGTTGTATTATATGTTTCGACATAGAATTGGCCTCTTTCTGATAGTTGTACATATGTGAACTAGCATTTTGGACTACGCATCTCGTGCTTTTTATCGAGTTTTAGGCAAAAATGATATTAAAGAAACTCTGAACCGAGATTGTGTAAATATTTGATTGAACTTCTCATGTTGCTTACTAAGGTGGAAGACTGGGTGGTTTCAGAGAATCTGCTGCTGAGCATAATCTGTGAAGAGGATCCAAATCCTTGTACGCGAGAGCTACAGAGTGTTCTTTCTTTCTTTCTCTCTTGTTTTGGTGAACGCGAGAGTGCATGAAATACATGTTTGTATGACGGAATAGTCTTACTTTCTTTCTTCTGTATAATACTTTTTTTTGGGTTTTCAGTTTATAATGGGATTAGACATTCGTCCAAATATACCATTAATGTGAAAAATCAAATGCCAGTTTTATTTGTTGAAAACTGTTTCTTCTCGTTGTGCTGCTGTTGCTGACGCCCTTAACATTGCATGCTGCAGCTGAATCAAGCTCGTAGTGAATTCAGTTGGGATCTTTGCAGGTTAATTCATAATTGAATTTGCGATTCAGATTGTGTTTGTGTCTAGCACTATTATGACTCTTATGTTCTTTGCAATTTTTATGCCTACAAGAATTGTGACCATCATAAGGATAATGAGTGTTTATGATCTGCGAAGACGGTTGTCTCTAATTCCTTAATTGGAGTAGATGAGATGATACAAATGATAGAATTTGGATTTTAATCGTATGGTGTTATTGGTTGTTTAGGATTTTGATTAGAAATCCAAATTCCAATCCAACTTTATACGCTCTAGTGACAAGATTCCAAGAAAAAGTCCATGTTAAAAATGGAGGATTGTGATCTTCCTAGGATTTTCTCTCCCCTTCATTTAACGTGTCCACATTTTTTTTAAAAAACACTACTAATTAATGTTTACAAGACATTTTTAGTTAATTTTTAATATTATATAGTTATTTAACAAAATACTAAGCATATTCAGTTTTAACTATTTTTTAATTAATATAGTAAATACATAAAATGAAATATATTTAATAATTAATATTATTTAATCATTTTTATATTAATATAGTTAACATAATTTATTTAGTTCTAAATTCTAATTACATTTATTATTTATCATATCTTAAAGATAAAATTTTAAATATATTTAATATTAATATAATATTTTTTATTTAAACATTAGTAAGCAACATAGTAAATATGTAAACATTAAATGCAAATAATATTTAAAAATTAACTAAGAAAATATTAAATAAATATTAAATAAGTTAGCTATTTAACATATTTTATATTTAATTGAAATCTAAAAGATAAAATGTATGTGGACATTACTTTGTATGTGGATTATTAACTTGGTATCTTTTCATTAGCCCAATGTCATTTTATCTTCCATCATGTATCTATAAATTGTACCATGTATGGAAATGGATTAAGTGGAATAAAAATTATAATTTCTCTTCTTCTCTTGTCTCTTGTCTCTTGTCTCTTGTTTTCATTTCTTTAGTATATTACAATACGTTATCAGCACGAGTGGCTCTAGCCGGTTCGTGATCATGTGTTCGTAGTAATAGATTTTTAGGGGTACATCTTCTGCAAGCACGACAACTCTCGCATACAACCCATGGAGAAGGAGACTATCTTGTGCTTGGTAGATAGTGCTACCACACATACTATCCTGAAAGATAGAAATTTTTTCCAAACTTTGACTAAAAAATAAGGAAGTGTAACCACCATTGCTAACGACAATGTGTTGATAGTAGGCTCCGACAGAGCTTCACTAATACTTCTTATGGGTACAGAATTAATTATCAATGATGTATTATTATATCTAGAATCCAAACGTACCCTTCTTAGTTTTAAAGATATTCGGTCTAATGTTTTTCATATTGAAACCGAAAATGAGAATGGCGATGAACATCTTCTCATGACTCAGTCAATTAGATGTCGGAAGCAGGTTATAGAGAAGCTTCCATCTTTCTCCTCAGGGTTGTACTACACATATATCTGACATAATACTAACCATGTTGCGATGAGTTTAAAATTTAAAGACCCAAATTCATTTAAATTATGGCATGAGCGATTGGGTCATCCTGGGTAAAATATGATGCGTCGGATAATATTAAATTCAATTAGGCATAATATGCCAAGCAACAATGTCCCCTCATCGTTAGACTATATTTGTGAGTCTTTTGCTAAAGGAAAACTTATAGTACACCCTTCTCGTACTAAAGTGAATGTTGAATCTCTCATTTTCCTTCAAAGGATTCAAGGAGATATATGTTGACCCATTCATCCTGCATCAGGACTATTTAGATACTTTATGGTTTTGATCGATGCCTCTACTCGGTGGACTCATGTCAACTTGTTATCCACCCGTAATAATGCCTTTGCTAAATTAATAGCAAAGATCATTGAATTACGAGCTCAATTTCCTGATTTTCCAATTAAATCTATTCGTATGGATAATGCTGCCGAGTTCACATCCAAATCATTTGATGATTTTTGTATGGCATTGGGTATTAAAGTAGAGCATCTGGTTCCTTATGTCCACACTCAAAATGGTTTAGCAGAATCGTTAATTAAGAGGATCAAATTAATTGCTAGGCCATTATTACAAAATTCAAAACTACCTATTTCTTGTTGGGGACATGTCGTTTTACATGCTGCTGCGTTAATCCAAATCCGACCCATTGCATATCATGATTATTCCCCCTTATAACTGTAGGTAATAAAAATTACCTTTAATTCCTATCAGAGAAGTTCAGAACAAGACTGCTAAAACCTCACCCGAAAGAGCAAAAAGGGAAAACCGCTAATATCTCTCAAACTGTAAGGAATTTGGCAAAATGGACATGAGCAAACCAAACCCCGTGGGGTTGGTTTGGTTAGCTCCGTCTCGTCGAGATAGTCGATTTTCATATATAATTCGTCCAATTCCAACTTACAGTTTGAAAGTTATGGCCTGTTCTTTGATGCATGTTCTGAAGCTCGCCTAAAGGCTGAAGCTCGCCAGAAAAGGGTGAAGTTCGCTTGTAAGGAAGTCCGTCTGCAAGGCTAGAGCTCACCTGAACATTGGAGCTCGCCCGAACTAAGCGAAGCTCGTCTGCACAACTTTGCCTACGAGGTTCTCCTGCATAACCTCGCTTGAGGGCCAAGCTCGCCTGAAGAGCAAGCTCGTCTATCAACACTCGGAGCTCGTCTACATAGCTCAGCCCACCTGATAGCTTGAAGGTCGCCCACATGACCCAGGCTCGCCTGAAGACCAAGCTCGCCTGATAGCTTGAAGCTCGCCTAAAGACCAAGCTCGCCTGCATGGCCTTACCTACAAGGCTTGCCTGCCTACACCGCCTCGCCTATGAGGCTCGCCTGCAGTGCCAGCTTGCATGTTCGCCTACTCGCCTGCATGCTTGACTTGCCCGCACGAGTCAAGCTCGCCTGAGCATTCGGCCCGCGTATGAGCTCGCCTGCAAGGTCGTCGAACTTCCCAGCTCGCCTAGACCGCCTACTTGGGGTATGTGAATAATCACATCAATGGTCACATCCCACAGCTAGGAAAAACATGACGCTCCTCACCTGGGCTAGGTATGGCCAGAACTCTCCTAATAGCCATTGATGGCTACGAAAAATAAGGCGGCTGGCGGCTGGCGGTTACCAGAACAGGACGGCTTGCAGGACCCCCTAGGTGGTCACATCCTACAGCTAGGGAGGCATGGTCTACTTGTGGTCAAATCCCACAAATCAAGGGATTGCACATGCCATCCCTTGTCTATTTAAGGCCACCTTCAGACAACGTGAAGGGGGTTGATTAGCTGCTGCTTGCTTGGCTGGCTAATCTTCCAAAGGTCGAACCTTGGCTTATTTGCTAAAGACTCCCTCATTTGAAGAGACTCGTCTGAACTCTCGGGCTTGAGGCTCTCAAGCTCTTTGCAGACTCGTCTGAACCCTCAGACTTGAGGCTCTTAGGCTCTTTGCAAGCTCTTGCATGGTAGCTCTCTCCAAGCAGTCAGCCGACAAGCACAAGCCCATGTTTGGCCTCAAGTATAGTCGAACTCGATCAACACGAGCTTCTACTACGTACTGAAGCTCATCTGCAACCTCGATCAGATCATCCAAGGGAAGCAAACTCGGTGCGAGAACTGAGCGAGGCACCGCTACCAAAGACCCCACGTTAAACAAGAATGATATTCCCTCCGCTTATGTTGTAATTTTGATTTATTAGTTTGTAATAAGCTATCCTTATCAATACAAATGAAATTACTATTTCAGGAAATTAAATTTTACACCTACAACAACTAGTGCGTGGTAAAGAACCAAACATTTCCCATCTGCGTGTTTTCGGATGTGCAATTTATGTTCTAATATTACCACCCAAGCATACCTCTATGGGCCCTCAGCGAAAGCTAGGTATATACATCGGTTATGAAACTCCGTCAATTATAAAATACCTAGAGCCCATGACAGGGGATCAATTTACTGCTCGGTACGCTGATTGCATATTCGATGAAGATCATTTCCCAACATTAAGGGGAGATAAACACCAAAAATTAAATGAATTTCGGGAAATATCGTGGTATGAAAAAGATCTTCAATATTTAGATTCACGTACTAGTCAGATTAAACTTGAAGTTCAGAAGATAATTAATTTGCAAAATTTGGCAAATAAGCTGCCAGACACATTCACTGATCACAAAGGAGTGACCAAGTCCCATATTCCTGTTAAAAATGCACCAAAAGAGTGGAAATCCCATGGGGGCTGAGTATATCAAATGATGCTCCACTACGCCAGAAGCATGGGAGACCGATCGGTGCGAAAGCTAAGAATCCGCGACAAACTAAATATAATAAAGAAATCCAGTCACTCCCAAAACCTCCTAAAGAGGATCGTCCTGAAGGCAAAAAACCCCAGTAAAATTACCCGTGCACTTGATAATCATCGCACTGGGGTTTCGGTTGCGGAACAACCAAATCCAAATGTTATGGAAAATGATGAAAATTTGGTGGATATAAACATAGAAGTAGCTACAATTTTTGTGAATACCAGAAAAACATATAATAGAAATATAACAGTTATCGACAACATATTTGCCTCCACGATTGCTCTTTCCATCTCCTATGATAATCTGGATCTAGAGCCTAAGTCAATAGCAGAGTGCCGGAAGCGTTCAGGTTGGGAGAGATGGAAAGAAGCAATAGAGGTAGAGCTCGGCTCGCTAAATAAAAGAAAAGTATTCAGACCTATAGTCCGTACACCTGATGATATTATCCTTGTAGGATATAAATGGGTCTTTATACGAAAAAGAAACAAGAATAATGAGGTGGTGAGATACAAAGCGAGATTAGTAGCTCAAGGGTTTACGCAGAGACCCAACATTGATTTTAATGAAACATATTCTCCGGTTATGGATGATATTACGTTCCGCTAC